CCTTAGTGACTTCAGTATCACTAGGTAGACTGCCCTGTGGGTATGTAAGTACTGCCATGACAATTTTTTCCACTTGGATTTCTAAGGCTCGCAAAGATGAACTATGACTTTGCAAGTACACTAATTGGCTCTGTAATAATGCTCCTTGGCTCTCAATAGACGTGGTGTGATCTTGCAATAGATCCTTGATAGTTTCCATGAAGTATTGGAGAGTAGCTCCCAAAGAGTTGATGCTCACTGAAGATGCTACCCCTTAGGAAAATTTTTCCACGACAAGTTCTGTTGACAACATGGGGGGTTTAGTCATACTATGATGCCAATTTGAGTTATTGGAATTGTTGGCTTCTTGATTCCCCGAAGAAAGATTTGGATGTTGAGGTCATCCTAGATTGTAAGTGTTTAAATATAGGTTGTTGCTGCCTCGGTTAAAATTCCCCACGTAGTTGGCTGAATTGTGGTTGTCAGGGCATTCACTCTCATAATGATTTCCATGTCACAAAAAACATGCAGAATTGGCCACCTTCACTTCCTGCACTGCACTAGGGCACTGTAAATATTTCAACATATTTGTTATGGCAGATAATTGTGCTGACACAGAATCCTTGGCATCTAACTCAAAAGTCCATTGGGTTCTCCTCCCAGTCCCTGATCTTATGGATGAAAATTGATAATCATTTGTTGATATCCTATCAAGGATATCAAAGGCTTCCTCAGGTGATTTGTCAAGCAAAGTACCATTCACCGAGGCATCCAACATCATGCGAGTGGTTGCGTTGACTCCATTATAGAACATCACAACTTGAGTCTAGTTTTGGAATCCATGATTGGTGCACTTGCGAAGAAAACTTTTGTATCGGTCCAACACTTATACATAGACTCTTCATTGCCTTGGTGAAAACATTTTACGACATTCCTAAGATGGTTGTTCATATTGGGTGGATTATGCCATAGCAAAATATTTTTGCACTAGTCTACCTAGGACCTTATCGAGCCAGAAGATACTCCATTAAGCCATGCTATGGGGTGATCTTTCAAAGAATATGGAAATAACTTCAATTTTAGCACATCTTAATGTACACCTTGTTGTCGAAAGGAGTAACAAACCTCTAAAAATTCTTGAACACGTTTCCTTGCACCCTCATGAAGAGCACCAGCAAACTGTCCAATCAAGTCCAACATGTCGAACATAACCAATTTTAGCTCAAAGTGGGCTACATGAATATTGGAAGTTACAATAGCATGTTTTAGGTCATCCAATGTGGGAACTAAGTGATCTCTAATAGTTTGTGGTCTTGCAGTAGTCTTTGTATTTTTATTTTCCACAACATTTAATTCTTTAGGTTCTTCCAATTCATTTTGAACTTCATATATAGTTATTTGAGCTCCTTGAACATATCTTCTTTGATAGAAAATTTATTCAATCTCAAGTTTCAAAATGAGATAATGGTTCATTGGGACTTCTACAAGTCATGGAACCGCACTTCACCTGAAAAGGGTAAACAAAAATAACGAATAAATCCATAAAAAAATAATAAAGAAACAAGATATGCTATAACAAAATTTTTAAAAACACTAATTGCCAATCCACGACAATGGCGCCAAAAACTTGATCACTTGTAGATATATAGTGTTGTGGTACGTAAACCTGTGCAAGTATACACGATTGATGCAAGTAATATAGTAGTGAGTGAGTATCGTCCCCATAGGGATTGGAAGGCTTTTGAAAGATTGCTACAGCTAGGAATAGGTGTCACTAAGTAATCCTAGGTATCTAAGTCTAATGATATAAACAAGGAAAATATGCAGTGGCAAATGGTATGAACAGATGAAAAAAGTTTGCCGAGGCAAGAAAAGTGTGAAATGAAGTAAGCAAATAAATTTTTTCGTGGCAAGAAAAATATGTAATAGTAAAAAAAAAGTTGCTAAGGCTAAAATTTGTCAAAAAAGCTAGAAATAGACTGGCAACCTCACACAATCAGACTTCTAACAGAGCACTTGAGTTGGATTTTCTACGGAGAGAAATTATTCTATGGCTAGGGTAATCTAAGTACATTATGCCTATGTTGCCTGACAGGATTTACTAAAGTGTACCAAGAGTATATCTAGCACGGAACCTGATAAACTATTGCTATGACAATACTACACAACTGAATTGCAACCCTTGGTTTGTCAAACTGTTGCTGCGGCAATGCCCCTCAGTGTAAACTGCAGAGCTAGCCTATCTACTCAAGCATTTATCATTCTTAGTCGAATGAAACCCTCTCCTTATCTCTAAGGCGGATTAGAACCTCACCATCCCTGATTAGTTCTCTTGTTCACATATATCTAACCTAACTCTCTCGATATTATGTATCAATTCCTAGAAAATCGACTATCTTTCAAAAGCTCTTACAAAGACTAGGAATATTTTGCCAAGGAACCAAACAATCTTTCAAAAGCTCTTACAATGCTAAGACAAAAAATTAAAACAGTGAACAAAACAACATTTAACAAAAACATACTTAATCATCCATTAACCATAAAATAAAATATCATCCAAGTATTTCCAGCACCAAATAAAACAATTTATGGTGTGGCTAACATCATCCCAAAAATATTCGTTAAGTACAAGCCCTAAAAAAATAAGAAATGACGAACAAGGGGAAGAGAAACTCCCAGATCAGAGGTCTGCCGTGACGTCAGACCACCACCAAGACTGCTCTAGCATGCTAGCCTCTCTTGAGGGCCTAGCCGATGCTTAGGTGAAGCCTGGCTATGGAGGGCACCAAGGACGGATGAGAGGGGGAACGGTGGAAAAGAGGTACTGCAATCGTATTTCTCTAAGCCTTTCTTTTAGGGTATATGGTATATATTCTCTCAAATGGTGGGCATCATATCCTATTTTTATTTGAGAATTTTTAGGGTTTAGTGCCCTTGAAATTCCCCAAATTTTCCTTGAATTCATGCCCAATTCGTGAAAACAAGACAACTAGCAGTGGTCCCAAATTAGCAGCATGACGTTAGCAATTTTGTCTCGTACTACGTCAGACTTGCAAGATAAAAATTCCAGCCGCAAAAATTATTCCTCACGGTTATCATCTTCGGTTCCTTTGACCCTGGCACAGAATTTGACTCGACAAGTAAATTCCTCATTGGTCATTTCCTATCACATGCATCATCACAACCAACACAACCCTTTTAATCAACAATATCAGTTTAATCAAATAAACTTTGTCGAGGCAAAACTTATCCACCATATGCAGAAATGCCCTAAATGCAATTATATGTAACTAAAATGCTATGTCAATGACGTTTAGACATTCAATAATTTGAGTAAAAAGACCTAAAATAATCTTTTTTACGGAGTTATCACAGTGATTATGGCAAAATTGTGGATGAGATTTGAAGATATAATTTGTGTATTAGCTGTATGTTATTACCTAAAGTAGATTAACAACACTTAGTGTAATTGTTGTAAATATTGACTCGTCTAAAATAGGTTGTACAACAACTCCTATCTAAAGAGAAGTTCATCAGTGAAATAGGCATTTAGCCATTTTCTCAAACTTTGTCAACTGGCACATGGGACAAATACTGTCACCTATGCAAACTATCCTAAGGCGACGTCCAATAGATAAACCTATGTGTGCCAATCTCCATGCAAAGACAAAAAATCTTTGGAAGAACCTGCAATTTAGATATGATTTGCCAAACTCCAGAAGCTAGCTTGGGGGAATGTGACGGACGTCAAAACCACTAATACCTAGAACGAACAGAGTAAATACCAGAGTCAAGGTAACTCCACACAAGGACCTCCTCCTAATTGGGTGCAATAGAGGTGGCAAGGATCGTGTTTACATCATTACCTTGAAAGGTGGCGTGGCCTTTCAGTTCGTCCCAACTCGGGTGACCCAGGGCCGGTCTTGGGCCTGTGCGGGCTGCCCAACCGCACAGGGCCTAATTTTTATAAGGGCCTCCAAAAATTTTTAAGCCTTTTGTATGTATGTGTATTTAGAATATTTAGCTCAAGAATTTTTAAGTCCAAGGCTTATTTTACTGTTATGGTATAGGATCACCAAATTTTAAAATATTAGTGAACTTCTTTATATATTTAATATTTTAGTTTTAAAAGGCCTATTTTATTGTTATGGCACATGACCACCAAAATTTACAAGACGGCCCTGAGATGACCTAGAAGCCGAAATAAAGATGCCTTGAAGTATTGAATGGGGAATGAGCCATACACCTGTTAAATTAGTGACGGAGCCATGTAAGCCCTGGGGGCCCACTGCCTTCCAATTTTTTTACCATTAAAAATAAAGATAATTACTAATTTAAATATTTAAATTTTAATTTATTTTGATTTTATCTTCTTTCTATTATTAATTATATTTTACTCGTTAAACTAAAATCCTAGATCCGTCCCTTTATGAGAGGCTCCTCATTTGTTACATAGTAAGTTGAGCTTAGTGTCCATACTTATCCACTAGAATGCACCGTTAAAAGCTCGAATCGTCTTATGGAAAAATTTTTCATGCATACGAGCTGTTATTTCTGATAGGCACAGTGAGGAGATCGTCATAAGGACAATATTTCGCGCATAACACTCTTGATAATAAACAATCAGGGTTTGTTATGAGTCGCCATACTTTTTTAGCATAGCCAATTTGAAAGAGTGAAGGTCCCGCAGACCTAACACCCTTGTCTCTTTGGCTTACAAATAGTCTACTAAGCTATGAGAAATCTTAGATTCAAGTACTTGCATACAATGCATTATCAACAGAGTTAGAATGTATATTACATTCTAATTATCTCGAACTATTAAATAATATTAATTTAATAACTAATATTCTTTTAAATTATCTTTTACATTTTAAATAAAGTACTAATTTTTTAAAACTTTTTGATAAGATTTAGTAGGATCGCATGGAAGTGGAAGTAGTTAAAAGAAGTAAAATTAAGAGGACAAGGAACAAGTGGGCGCTAATGCTCCCCCTCTTTCTGCTTCAAAGATTGCAAAGATCTTACACTATTGGATCCTCAAATCTTCACCTTTTCCCTGTCTTTTTTATTACTCTTTTTCTTTCTTTTATTTAACTCAAACACAAACCCTCCACACAAAAACACTTGCTGGGTTATGGCGATTGCTCAGGATTTGCATGTTCTTGCCGTCGATGACAGCCTCGTGGATCGTAAGGTCATTGAGAAGCTGCTCAAGATATCTTCTTGTAAAGGTACTTCTTCTTTTATGGTTTTGGATTTTGATAAGTGGGTTTGATTTCGTTGTTTTCGTGTAGTGACGACTGTTGAGAGTGGAACGAGGGCTTTACAGTTTCTTGGTTTGAATGGAGAAGGAGGGTCTCTGGGTTTGAAGGTGAATCTTATAATGACTGATTATTCAATGCCTGGGATGAACGGATATGAACTCCTCAAGAAGATCAAGGTCATAATTGAATCTATTTATATGAACAACTCCTAACCATGATTTCGAGATGTCATGATTATGACTAATTTGTATTTTGGAACAGCATTCCTCGGCTTTTAGAGAAATCCCTGTTGTGATTATGTCCTCTGAGAACATCCTCACTCGAATCAATCGGTACGCTCTTCATTTCTTCGGTCTGCTGTTGATTTTGTGCATTTCTCTATGTCTGATGATGTTCTTTCAGAGGAAATCTGATATAATTCACATGCTTTCAAGTTGTTTTAGCATAATTCCGTGACGACGAAAATTGAAACGGATGAATCCCTTCGAGTGTGTTGATTTTGAGCCATTGTTATATGTACAATCTGTCAATCATGTCTTTGTTTATACGAGTGATTGAAAGATTGTATACTTTAGTGGATTTTTGTGGGAAAAGGTCTATTGTTGCATCGAGTTCTTTTCCTTTTGCTTGAAAGACCGATGCCATGTGGAGATACGATCCTTCAAGGACTCTCCGAATGCGTACAACAACTTAGAAAAAACAAGCGTACCCCGGCGTTTACCGAAATTCGACACTTGCATCGTATAGTTTTAGTTGAGGGTAAAGTACACAAATGGTCCCCCTACTAAAATATATTGTTTTATTAAGTCTCCGATTATTAAAGTTTACAAAACGATCCTCTGACTATAGGGAGTTGCTTGGTTGAGTCCCTTGAATATTAAAAGTCATAAAATGATCATCCGACTATCGACGGCAGTCTGAGCTATATGTTAACCTGCTGACTAAGATATGATAAAATTTGATCTCATAATCTCAAATGATTAGATTTGATGTAGAATATGAAAAATCAGATCGATTCCCTTATGTTGACAACGGTTGCTCTATGGGGCGAAAAATGGCTAAAGCATTCTTTTCATCTACAGGTGCTTAAAGGAAGGAGCAGAGGAGTTCCTGGTTAAGCCCGTAAAACTGTCGGATGTAAAAAGGTTGAAGGATTTTATAAAGAGAGGAGAGCCGGAGGAAAACGGCATCGGAGAAGTCTGCAAGAGAAAATTTGAGGATGATTGCCTTCCCCCACCTAAGGCAACACCTCCGTCACCCCTACCACCCTCACCACTGACTGTATCCCCGTTTGCTTGTGATCCAACAGCGTCGAAACTACCATCATCACCCCGACATTCATCGAAGAGGTCTAAATTGCAGAGCAGTGACTAATTCGATTTTCGATTTTTGTCAGTAGCCTCGTAGTTTCTAGATATATATATATATATATATATATATATATATATAGGCCATGAGGTGAAGGATAACTTTTGTGTATATTGCATTACCCTGGCCAGTTTAGTCGTTGAAAAGAACTATAAGCAGGAGCAGAAACAGAGAAATGGAGAGAGAGAGGAGAAGAAATACAAATGACATCCCTTTTGTTCCACCAAATTCAATGAAAATAGCAGTCAAAATATGAATGATCTTTCTATTCTACTGGATTATGAAGGGCGTTCAAGATTTTAGCTTCCATTTGGCTTAATTAAGTTAAAAGGGAACAATAATTATTATTGTCTTCCCTAAATATCGATGATTTTGACATATTCGTCTCTTAAAAGTTAAAACATTCTATATCTATGAATCAATGAATGAGCTTGCTACAAAAGGCCTTAAAACTATACAATGATGCCCCTGGTCTGCAAAGCACAATCGCTGGAATTGAAGCACTGCTGGGAGTGCTGTATTGCATGTTGGAGGACTATTCAGAATCTGACAACTCCTCCAAAATTGCCATTTCTAAGCTACGTGCATGTGGAAAGAGGAAACCCGCCTTCTTTGGCATTGCTCTCAACTTGAGTTGATGTGCAAACGAATAAGTTTGTGTTTCTGTTTGTTTGTGTACGTTTGTTCGTGTTTGTTTGTTTATTTTAAAGCTGTTAATGTTCGATTCGTTTAACACTCGTGAATATGTCCGTTAACTGTTTGGCAATCAAAACTCTCATTTTATATTTTTACTTGCAAGTCAAAGATAAATGATGAAACTATGTCATTGGTCTTTAATTTCTTTAGGCGTCATAGTTTGAACTTCAAAGTCCACCCTTGGTTCAATTCAATTCCTACCTTCATTGTTATTTAAAATGTAAAAAAAAAAAAAAAAAGGAAACGAGAACCGGGTAAATGGGCTTATAAAAGAGTTGATAAACGAGTTTGTTTGTGAATATAAATGAATCAAATACACCTATGTTCGTATTTGTTCGTTTACTAAATGAACATAAAAATTTTATTCATACTTATTTAATTAGCTTAATAAACGAACGTAATTCAACAACAGACTTTAAAAGAAAACACCCAAAAGTCCATGTCTCTAGATTCCCCTTCCTTGGCTAGTTTATGGGACTCGATGTTACAAATTGTAGGAGTATATTAGATGATCAACCACTAGTCGGAAGAAAAAGAGAAGAATAAGACCATAAACCATATTAGAATACATCACCAGAGCTCTACACAAATCGGAAAGCCAAGAACAAGGACCTCTTAGAAAAAAGTTTAAATGATTCTTCATTACTGCCTTTTTTTTCTGGGATACTAAGGACCCACGTCTTAAAAAACAGTTTAAATGGTTCTTCATCACTTTTGGTTGCAACTTTTTGATTTTAGGGTAAATTACACCAATCATCACTTATTTTTATTCTCTCTCTTATTCCTTCATTATACTTTAAATCCGTTTAATTTTCTCACTGAATTTAACATAATTAACATTTTTTCACTCAGCCGTTTTCTCGCTAAACGGCGTTATAAATGAGCTGTTATATAAATGCAAAACGATGTCGTTTTGGTAAAAGTTTTGTTTTTCTAAAACGGTTTTGTTTTAACGCCGTTAAATATTTAACAGCTGAGTGACCAAACATATTAATTATCTTAAATTTAGTGAGAAAATTAAACGGATTTAAAGTACAAGGAGTGAAATATGAGAGGAAAGTTAAGTGATGATTGGTGTAATTTATCCTTTTATTTAATGGTGTGTGTTTTCCCAAAAACGATGTCAACTCTATCATTTCTTAGGTATTGTACTCATAAGCATGCCGATGCTGTAATGATTTTATGTTTAATCTAATCTAATTTAATCGGAATATGTTCATCTTCATTTGGGAAAGCAAAATTGTTCATAGGTTCTTTGCTTAATACTAAAATAAGTGTTCAAACTATACATCTTTTTCCAAATAGACGCCTAAATTATTTTTTGATTCATCTTAGTGTCTAACGTTACAAACGTTACACATTTAGGTGTTCAGACCGTCAATGGTGACACGTGTCATAACCTGATAAATTTTAAAAACTAAAAAATTAAAATTATATATATATATATATATTAAAAAGAAAACACAAATTTTGAAATAAACTCAAAACTTTGAAAACCTTCATTTCAACCCCTAAACCCACGCCGACCATCGCCTTTTGCCGTCGTGAAGCTCCACCCGACCTCCCCTCCCCTGGAGACCAAAACCCCTGTGAAATCGTGACTGATCGATGGTCGATTGACGAGGAATCAACGTTTTATACCCCGCGAGACTTAGGATGAAAATCACGATCCCACACGATTCTGAAGCCAATCGACGGAAACTACGATGACATATGAGTAGGAGGATGATAGGCGCTATGTCGGTGGCGGTGGTCGTGACCAGAAAGGGCAGCGACGATAGATTAAGGTTAGGATTTGGGATTTTGGGGTTGTTTTATAATATAAGAAAAGTTAGTGTTTTTTTTATAAATATCATAACATTTATAAAAAATAAAATTAAAAATCACCTGATTGTGACACGTGTCATTTAATGGGAAAATTAACGCTGTTGACGGCCCGTGCACCTAAATGTCTAACGTTTGTAACGTCAGGCACCTGAATGAGTCAAAAATAGTTTAGACACCTATTTGAGAAAATCGGTATAATTTGGATACTTATTTTGGTATTAACCTAGTTTCTTCAATCCAAAAAGAATCTGCTGAGTATACTTTAAAAAAGTAAATATGCCCAAAGTTGGCTAAGAACATCATTCCTGGAATAAGATATGATATCTTCCATCATCAACTTATGATATGATTGCAAAAATTTTAAAATTTTAATAAAAAGATAACTGAAATATGATATGATTATAAAATCATGTAACGTGGATTTTCTAATCATAGGATATAGTTTGGATCAAATCAGATTTTTGATTAAATTAAAATTTATTTGAGTATTGTATGTCTTCACTTGTTACTTGATTCGATTTAAAATTTGATATGATTTTAGAAAATTTTGAACATGTACACACATCTGTCTCTCACAATTATATATATATATATATAATTTTTTTAGGCTTAATATAAAATTAAATTGTCCAATTTATACCATTTTTTTCTCATTTAGGGTTCTTAAATTATTATTTTTTGTCAATTTATGTGCGTAACGTTATTAAATATTATCATTTTAAGTGTCCTGACTGTAACGAACATTAAAAAACTCCGTTGAGTGACATATGTCGCATTTATATAATTTGAAAGTTTTATTTAAAATAAAAAACTTAAAATTATAATTTTTTAAAAACCAAATTTTTCCTAAATCTTAAGAAAACCTCAAAACTTTGAAAACCTTAATTTTAATCTCTATATCCTCACCAGCCACCATCCTTTTTCTTCGTCATTTATGTCAACTAGACCTACCTCCGATTGTATCTCCACCCAACAAACATCTACTGATGAACCCCAATCGAGATGTAAACTCGATGAATGATAAGAAAAAAAAAATTACGACATTTATACAACCCCACTGGACTCAACGGTGCTAGCAAAGACCAAAAAGAAGATGAAAATGGCGACTGTGCGATCATAGCTGGCAAGAGAGAAACTAGGGCTAGGGATTTGGGGATGATTTTAGAGATTCTTTTTGTAATTTTTAAAAAATTAAGATTTTTAAAAAAGAGATTATATTTTTCATTTTTTTTATAAATTACAATAATGTGACGTATATCACTTAATGAATTTTCTAAGGATATTATGATCGGGACACTTAAAATGGTAACATTAGGTACCTAGATTGACCAAAATTAAATTAGGAACCTTAATGGAAAAATGTATAAAATGTATAGTTTAAAAACTTTTTTATATTAAGCCATTTTTTATTAAGTAAAATAGGATTTTAACTAAAAAATATAGAGAGAATTATTATAATATTATTTCTAAATATTTGAGAGATAATTATTATCTCGGATAGAATATTTTTCTCATTAAAATCAGAACCACCAAATCTTATCAAAGTATTCTTAAGTATTTTAAACTATTTGTACTATTTCAAAGTATTAGAGTGATGATTTTTGGAAGAATGAAGCATTAATATATTAAAACTATTGTATATATATTCAAATTATCTTTACGTGAAATAGCAGTACTAATTATTAAAAAATACAGATGAACATGATGAATATAAGCAGAAAGCAAAGAGTGGATGATTTATGCAATCCAAGCACTGTGTGTATTGATTTAAGCTGCAAATGAGAGCCCATCTTAATCATATTTACTTTCTAAAGGAGAAACTATCAAATACAAACAATGGAGGAGAGAAAAAAAGCAAACCTCAAACAATAATATTGGCATGTTCAAAATGGAGGCAAGCTCCTGCTCAAGCCATTGATATTGGAAAATATTCCCACCAGGTCCTGCCTGTTAGGCAAAATGGATCTTCTCATGTCACCTGCTTTCTCGTCTCGGTTACAACCGGCTTCTTATTAACAAGAACGTTTCAAGTTTTGTCTCTTTTGCTCTGTCCTAAGAAAGCATATGCGTCTTTACCGTCGCTCTTGTCGCATCTCCCGGGTCGTCGGTCTTTGCCGATGTTGCCGCCTTTGGTGTCCAGACACAGTAAGTCCCCGGCGTCACCCTGTCGAGTTCACCGCCTTCCGACGCTGAACATGAATTTGTTTCGCGCTCTTCGCCCATGAGTTCCCTCAATGGCAAACGGCGCGATCGTGGTTTCACATCATGAGTTTGATAAATGTTGTTGTTGAGCAAGCTGGTGTCGGAAACTGGATAGGTTGGCCTGATTTGTCCGTTGTAAAAGATCTCATCCGCGGACACCGGAGACATCTTCGGGTCTCGACACACGAATGCAAACTCGAAACCATCGTCGTCTTCCTCGACAACTCTTGCAGCGATCTCAGCCAGCACGCGTGATGAAGACTGAGTGCTGAAGTTCGAGGAAACCGAAACAACCGAACCAGCCTGCATTTGCATACAAAGGAGATGGAATGGGATGAAAGAAGAATGAACAAAGAAAGTGTGAAGTTTGGGGGACTGGACTGTTCAAGAAAGATATTAATTATATTGATATAAAGTTATATTTAATCATTTAATTTTTGCATAAACCGAGTGATTTTCCCCCTCCTCGTAACATTATATTTATGTATGTGATTCTAGTCCTATAAATGGTGACTTTGTAAATCTCATAAGATATAAGCAATTGAAAATCAATATCTTCTCTCTCGTATTGTTATTTGTCTGTCTTTTGTTTATATCTCATTCTTATTATAAATTCTATTATTTTTTTAACACATTATCAACATGAATTCACTCAATTATCTTAACTATTGATTAATGTTTCTCGACAACAATTTCAATAAGATATTGATGACTACATTCACTACCTATTCAACTTAGCTTAAAAAGTTTGATATATTTTGTGTATCTATCTATTAAATTATGTTCAAATTTTTTGGTATATCTAATTTTTTTTATCAAGAGATTGATTTATTAAAATGTTAAGTTATAATATTATCAATAATGCTAAAATATAGATTAAGTTAATTGAGGATAATAGTAATAATTAGATAATATTTGAAATTAAATGAAATAGTTTTTTTTATTAATCTACGTAAGTATAATGTTCAAAGATAACTTTCAACCGTTTCACATTAAATACTTATACCCTTAATATTTTTGATGCTTGAACCCGAAACCAGTTGAACATTAAGATTTGGGCATCTTCATTTTGATTTACAATATTATTAAATATTGACGAACATGTAACAATTCGGACTATCGATCCTTTGATAAACTAAGATTAGGTACACCTCAATTTATTTGTGTACATTTGAAAACATACATTTTCTCGGCTTATATATGTATGTGCTATAAAGGTGTCAGGTACTTATTAGTTAGGGATAGCAAACGGGTGGGGCGAGTGCGGATACCCTTTCCTCAATCCCCATACACCTAATATTTTTGTATTCACCACCTACCCATCACCAACGACGAGTAATTTTTTAAATTCACACCCACCCATACAGATACATTCTCAAATCCACACCCGCTCACGTGATCCTGTGACCACTGACAAAATGACACGTGTTACTTTAAAAAATATATACTTTTAATTTAAAAAAAAAATAAAACTCATTCCTCCTTATTTTGACAAAAACGTATAACACATACTCACATCGTGTAAGTCAATAAAATAAAAAGTGTAGCACATAACACATACTTACACTGATGTAAGTGCCACATGTCATTTTGTCAATGGTCATAGGTTTCATGTTACTTTCCGTGACGAAAGTGGGTGAATCCGTTAACGGCATAAAACACCACGTATGAAATCGAGAATTTTAAAACATTGTGTGTGAAACTTAGAATTTGATATACTTCATGTATGAATGGGGTAATTAACCCAATTCGTAATGGTCTAAAATTTATAGGGTGAGTAATTAGTGGGCACTCAGATACAGGGGCAGGCGGATGCAGGACTGGTAAGGTCTCGAACCCATCACCTACTCACTACCCACGGTGGGTACACCTTTTTACATCCACACCAGCCCACTACCCACTAAACTTATGCCCATCCCCGCCCCAATTAGAGCAGGTGTGATGCAGAATCCACAAAATTATACCTATCTGCCATCTCTATTATTAGTTATAATTTTTTTTATTTGTTATATGATATATCAATATTAATAAAACTTTATGAGAATATATCAATATAGAACAATTAATTTTATTAATAAATAAAAAATCCAAAATTACAATATATATTTATGGTTAAAATCGTAAATTAATAATTGAGATACTCTCCTATAACCATTAACAGAAGTAACTAGGCACTGAATATCATATAAGGACCATACAAGAAAAATGTGAAACTGTCATCCAAAAAACTCAAAAAAAGGTAGATATGAACATATCTGACTAATAGCTACGATAAATAAACAATAACATGGATTAAACTACTGAAAGATCGTTGACAAAATCCAAATTAGTACCAAGCATCGTGAAAAAACTATCTACGATCGTAAGTTGCGTATCTAAATCCAATTCGAGAGTCCAAAGTAGGAAAGATCAATGGGATAACAAATGAGCGTCATCTTAATCAATCACGGTGATGTCAAATCCAAACCTGAGAAAAATAAATGAAAAAGACCGAAAAAAATAAAAAAAAATGCTAGAAGAAAGAGAACAAATATGCTATAAGAGTAAAGAAAATCATACCATAAAGACAAAGTTATTAGAAACAAAGAAAACAAAGATACAAGATAAAAAGAAATATCGACGACGAAAACCAGTATCAAGGCTAGTGTCCTTGTTTACTAACGAAAAATGAAAAAAATGATGAACACACTACAACAGACTTGGTCTATAATGACCTTTTTAGCCCAATAGCGGCATTTTAAAGCGCCGCTAAAATAGCTCATGGCGCAAAAGAAAGTGCCGCAAGAAACATCGCAAAAGGTTAGGTAATTTAGTGGTATTTTTTTGAATAAATGCCACAAAAGGTTAGGTAATTTAGCGGTATTTTTTTAATAAATGCCGCAAAAGGTTAGGTAATTTAGCGGTGTTTTTGGAACAAACGCCGCAAAAGGTTAGGTCATTTAGCGGCGTTTTTGGAACAAACGCCGTAATTATGTAGTCCATTAGTGGCGTTTTTACCTTAAACCGCTGCAAATGAAACCTGATTTGCAAATGTTATTTTCTGCTATTTATTACCCAAATATAATATCATGTAGCAATATCCAATAACAATAATCTTAAAATTTAATTATGACTCGAATTAAGTAAAAATAGTTGACATAAATAAATCAAAGTTTACAAACATGTAAGTGAAATGTAATGTACTTTAACATCATTAACTAGAATAAACAATGGCAAGAACACTTTGAACAATGCATATTCTAACCACTGCCTTAGTTAGAATGGCTTCTCTCATCAGCAAAGTCATCATGTCACCACTAGGAAGATACTCCATGATAGATACTTAGCATCTTGAAAACAATAATAATGTCTTCTCTCAAACTGGCAACTTCTGCAAGCAACTTCCTTTCAGCTCTCACACGTTCAACCTATGTTACATGAACAATCTGTGAGTCTAATGAAATGAAATAAGTACGAAAACAACATGAGAGAGAGATAGAGAATTTACATGCACAATCTGTGAGCCTTCATTGCCCTTTCATGGGAAAGGAAGTAAAAAAAAGAAACAGTTTTTCTTGTTTGATGAAGCATCGTTAAATTTTTCTTCCATGTAAACTGTAAATGGAGAATCTCTTCATCCATTTCACCAAATAAATCCCTTAGTTCCGGATCACCGGGAAGTAAAAAAGGGTCAAATTTTGCCATTACAGGTCAAATTTTTAATCCAATATTTTGCTACAAAGCTGATTGGCATGGAGAATACAACATACTGTGAATATTTTGTCAGTTAGTTCTGAGGGAAGCAATCATATATTAACACTGAAAAAACAAAGAATAAAATTTCATGTTTTAACAAAAGCTTATAGTCCGAAAACTTTACCTCAATAAATCATTATTGACAAGAAAATGATTATTTCCAATGAAACCCATTTAGTTGAAATGATTATTTCCAACAAAATTGGTAATAGTCTGAAATGAACAAAAAAAAAACCAATTTTTCTTGAAATGATTATTACCATAACACTAAAAAAACTCTTTTTCAATTCTTCGAAAACTGCATATTAAATTCTGCAGACCGTCCATGAACCACAGCCAAAAGTTCATGGCAATAAGAGCCAACGCCCACTGATATACGTGTAGTCATGGGCAGTGGCAGAATTGTCATCATAGCATTTTATCAAACACCGTGCATGCATCAACATGGGAACTGACTTGGGTCTTCCGATTCCATTAATGGGCACCAAGTTTCTCCATCAAATTAAAGTCTCCCAGAACCAAAATAAAAACAATGGACTGATTGTTCTGTTCGCATAAAAACAAATTGAAGTATTGTTCTATAGTTGTACCAAAATTACATTTGTTCCTTTTCCCCTCCTGGAATTTGCTAGATAAAGAGCCGACCAGTTATATCCTTTTAGCGTTTGTAGCAGTTTTCCAGTAGAAGGCGGCAGAATAATAATAAAATAAATAAAAGGCAAGAAACATAGATAATGGCGAGAATAGAAAGAGAAAACGAACCAGTAGAAGGCGAAGGCGAGAATCAAACTAGTAGAGAGCGAAACTGAATTTTGAGCCTTGAGGATTGACCGACGGCACAACGGTGGTGATTGGCGCTCCAATTTGATGAAGATGGTCTACTGCTGAGGATGGAGGAAGATTAGATTAAAAATAAATTAGGGATCGGGCGGAAGAAATGTTAGAGATATATACATCCTATGGCTGCGTTTTATCAAAAAAAAGCCACCGTTTATAAATCTATAGCGGCATTTCTACTAAAAAGGCCACTAATGTAAATGGTTTTTGTGGCGATTGTAATAAAACGCCACCAATGTACTAGTCTATTGCGGCGTTTATACTGATAATGCTACTAAAAGTAAATGGCTTTTGCGGCATTTCTCAAAAAAATCACTTGTACTAGTCTATTGCGGAGTTTGAAAAAAAGGCACTATTATAAAAGTCTATAGCGGTGTTTGTCTAAAATGCCACTGTTTATCATTTTATAATGGTGTTTCTACTGAAAATGCCAATAAAAGTAATTGTGTTTGCGGCGTTTCTCAAAAAATGCCACTAATTTTGACATTTAGTGGCGTTCATATAAACGCCGCGATTTGTAAAATGTTAAGGTAGTTTTCTTAGTAAAGGCCACTCTGACGGCAAGTTAGAGAAAATGAAGAAGCAACCAATACCAAAGGCCTTGGTGATACTATTACTGAAAAAAATAATAAATCTAGTTGAAAACAAAATAATTATTTATCTTTAATATCCTTATAACACTCCTTAATGTGTAGGATTCTATCCATATAAACAGCGGCTTTGTAAAGCCC